CTTAAGGCAAGAACACATGTTTGAGATTCGAATCACTCTACAAGTAAAATCGATCATGTCTATCTTGAATGATTCTAAACCGACAATTTAAACTTAGCCTTAATGATAAAGAATCATTCCAAGGAAAGTAAAATTCATATTACCTTTTTTTATCAAATATTTGAGATTCGAATCACTCCACAAACAAGATTGATCATGTCGAGCTTGAATGATTCAACATGCAACCTAAACTACATAGAATTGCAAAAAAAAAAAAAAAAAAAAATCTAAATTGATCCAACAAATTTCAAATGGGGTAAATCAAAACCTACATACATGATGAAGGCTAATATGGGAAACATGAAAGGGAACAAACGAGGAAAAGAGGTCTGAGACAGGAATGCTATAGTTTGTTGAAGATCTTGGGTATTGGGCCTTCTGGCTGGTCTTGGGCCTAGGACATTGGGCCTTCTTGCTTCTCAAAGTTTTTTTTTCCTAGCTATTTACCGTGACGAGTCAAAGAATAAATGAATTCTATTTATACAATTTTGAGCCTGATTTTCTATGGCAAAATTTTATCGAAAGAGATAAAGCATGGCACAATCTAATTATATAAACTCGATCATGAGACGAAAGACTCGTGAGATAGACACATGTTAAAATATCATCAATAGTTTAATAGGATCAAATCCAATAATTATAAGAGCTCATTGTCACTATATTTTTAGAAAAATGAATTATGCATTTTAGAAAAATGATTTAGGTATTATACGAATAAGGATACTAAGTATTTTATAAAAATGATTAAGGTATTTTATGAATAAATATTTAGATATTTTAGTAATAAATTATCTAGCCTATACGGTAAATACTCATCCAACCTACTAAGGTTTTCATCCCAAGCAATCTCAATAAATTCCAAGCAGTCTCAAACAAAGCAAAATGCAGTAGTTTCTACAGAGTGTCTTGTAATCTCTTATCGATTTGTATTAATAAAGAGTGCGAGTGTTTCCCATAAAGAATTGTGTTCAACAATCTAGCATCAAAGCAACGTCGGTATAGGTTGTCTGATCTTTTGAAATTTTTAGTATGCTCTTTAGTTGTAGCTCTATCTCAACTTCCATAGCAGAAACGATTTCTTGACATTATTAGTCAGTGAATTTCTTTGTGTCATGAGTAGTTTGTGACTTAACAAGTTTTGCGTCGAAAAGACTTGTTTGATATTACTGAGGTATTGTCAACGATGGGTGATTTCCAAATCGTTGGAGGAATTAAGAAACTGAACAGCAACAGCTAAAACACATGGGGCAACATGCAGGATGTCCTATTTACAAAGACATGACCTTTGGGAGGTTGTGGGCGGGAGTGAAACTACACCTCCATATGAGGATTCTAATGGCATCTTGCACAAATGGAGAATCAAAACAAGCAAAGCAATGTCACCTTGAAGACCACAATCGGAGAAGAGATGTTAGAGCACATTTGGGATGACAAGACACCAAAAGAAGTATGAGACATGTTCATGATGTTCTCAAAGAAGAACAAAACTACAACTTCTTGAGAACGAGCTGTTACCAATCGCATAACGTGACATGACAATTTCTTAGTACTTCCATACAGTCAAGTTGATCTATTGGGAGATTAGTAAACTAGATTCGAAATCTGTTATTAGAGAAACTCGAATGAAGAGAATCATTATCCATGAATTATGTCCATAATATATAAGAAGATTTGTTATTGTTGTACAAGGATGGCCTGCACAACCATCACTTATAGAATTTGAAAACTTGCTAGCCACCCAATAAGACATGACTAAACAAATGGGAGGTATCACACGGAAGAGTGAAGAAGAAACACTTTAGACAAGTAAAAGATGGAGCAATAGTAATCCACATGGATACAAAATTGGTGACAAAGGAAAAAGCCACTAAAAAACTACAACCTTGGGGAGCTTAGAAAAACGACAACAAGAATTCTCAAGAGAAGAGATTTGAAGGCATTTGCTACAATTGTGAAAGGAAGGGTCACAAGTCCAAAGATTGGTGGTCCAAGAAAATAAAATCACATGACTGGCAACGTCCAAAAAGGAGATGAAGAATGAATGGGATGTAGAGTTACTGTCTACCGTAGAAGAAGACGAGCTAACTCACATGACAATGATGGGAGAATATGCTGATTATGAGAATGATTGGATCATTGATTCTGAATAATCAAATCACATTCCTGGTAATCAGAGTGACACAATGGAAGCAAGGTGGCACTCGGAGAAGAAAATATTACTAGAATTGGACAACATTAAAAAAATTTTACCACAAAAGATGGAAGAGCAAACTACATACATTTGGTTAAGTGTTGATGTGCTTCAAGATCCAAGTGACATTAATATTGGTGAGCAAGAAGTGAAGCGACCAAGAAGAAAGATTGATCGCACTCACACACCCAAAAATAGAAATAAACAAGAAGACACAAAGATTTATCAGTTAAGAGAAGAGAAATTCTCCTACGTTCGTAGGCAGCAATAAATCACTATAACCAAAGTCTTTACTCTCTCCCCTTACAAATTTTTAATTACAAAGTTTCTTCCAATTGTCCAAAGAAAACACTCTTAATAATGCCTTTATATAACATAATAAAACTAATACTCATAAATCAAGACAATTCATATACCATACCAGATGAATTCAATAGATGAATGGAAGAATGTACCAAAAAAAAAAAAAAAACTTATAAATCTAAAGATTCATGATAATCCGAAACAATTTCATACTCTACCAGAAAATTCTAGGCAATAATGGCCTAGAAAAGTGTTTAAAAATGACAACGTAAGATAATTACATATGGAAATAAAGTAATTATTAGAGAATTCAAATGGGTCTCTAATAATTACTTTACAATTATAATGGGATTAAGACCCATTTGAATTACTTTTGAAGATATAAAGTAATTATTAGAGACTTTTAGCTATTTTGTGTTTGGTAAAATTGATTGTTTGTTTAACAATTGATACAAAAATCACTTTTCAATTGAGTTGATTTGCAAAAGTGGTTTACGGCAGCTTTTAAATTGAGCTTCTATAAACATCTTACTAAATAACTTTGTATATTTAAATATAACCTTTATTTCAAACATGTCCTTAGTCATTAACTTTAAGTGTGGAACCAAATATTAACATGATTTATAGTCACATTTTTATGAAATTAACTAGAATTAAAATACTTATTCTAAAGTTCCTCATAAACATGTCCTTAGTCATTAAGAATCATATCACATTTAATAAATTAATTATAAGCAGATCAATTGTACTAAAATCACTATTTCTACAATCAATCTCAAACATGTCCCAAGTCCCAAGTCATCACATACAATTAAGGTCCAAGAAAGGTGAAGAAAAATATTGGGAGAGAAGAAATAGGTGTTCTTGCTCTAAAGTATAAGGTGGGCAAGCTTTACTAATATTTAGAAAAGGGAGCTGTGAATGAATGAAATGGTACACTTTTCTAATTCTTCTCCCACTCTTTGGAGCAACAGGTATCATATTTAAATTTTAAAGGAGGTTGTGAGTGAGAATTAGTGAGATATGTCTGAGAGAAACCGAGTGATACATCTATGAGAATTGAGTGAGACTGAGCCACAAGGGTCTTTCTTCACTAGCTCCACCTGTGTTTGATGGAGAACACTTACGAAACATGGGTTATTCAAAATGAATGCCCTCATGGAAGGTTGTGAATATGGGCTATCAAAATGAAAGCCAACATAGAGGTTTGTGAATATGGGCTATCAAAATGGAAGTCTACATTGAGGATTGTGAATATTGGGAAGCAATTGAGGAAGACTATGGCCTTGGTACACAAGGCGGCACTGAAATAAGAACGTAGCAAAGAAAAAGTGGAAAAGGAAAAAAGGAAAAAGGAAAAAAGAAAAGTGGCAGCATTAACTCTAACTCTAATAGCTCGATATTGCCGAGGACTTTACCTTTCAAGTTTTTCCTAAGATTTTTAAAATGCGTCGGTTAGGGAGAGATTTCCAAACCCTTATAAAGAATGTTTCCTTCTCCTACCCAATCGATGTGGAATTTCACAATCTACCCCCTTGGGGCCCAGCGTCCTCGCTGGCACTCGGTTCCTTGTCTAATCGATGTGGGACCCCCAAATCCACCTCCTTCAGGGCTCAGCGTCCTTACTGGTACACCACCTTGTGTCCACCCCTTTTGGGACTCAGCCTCCTCACTGGCACATTGTCTGGTGTCTGGCTCTGATACCATTTGTAACAGATCAAGCCCACTGCTAACAGATATTGCCCACTTTGGGCTTTCCCTTTCTGACTTCCTCTCAAGGTTTTTAAAATGCGTCTACTAGGAAGTTTATAAAATGATGTTTCTCCTACCCAACCGATGTAAGATCTCGCAGGTTACAAGGACAATAAGTACAATGCATACAAGCATTTTGGGAAGCATAATCATCCACACTTCAGATGCTGGAGAAGCCAGATGTGAACTGTAAGTGTCATTTAATGGGGCACATGAACTTGGAGCAAATGCTACAACAAGGAGTAAATGCTACAACATAACAAGAAGCTCAACTCCTCGTGGTTACTAGTTTCTCATCTGCCACTCAATGTGATGGTTGGTTGATAGTGGTGAACAAATCACAAGACAGGGGACAAGGAGTTTTTCAAGGACTTTGACAAGTCATTCAAGTCAAGGGTGAAGATAGGGAATAGTGAGTATCTAGAAGTGAAAGGGAAGAGCATAGTGTCAATAGAGAGTTGTGTAGGAGTACCAATTCCAGAGGAGTTGAAAACAGACTACATGGCTTGTTTGACGTGGAAGCAAACAAGATTGTCATTCAATGAAAACAACGGAGAGAAGTTGCAGCTCATCCACACTGGCTTGTGTGGACCTCAACCAACTCTAACATTTACTTCATGAAGCAGAAGTTTGAAGTAGCTAAAGTGCTTCTGAAGTTTAAAAGGCAGGTAGAAAATCACAGTAAAATTCAAATGTTGGAGTTTGATAACGGGAATGAATGCACATCACAAAGGTTTAATTCCTTTAATGAAAAGTTGGGATACAGTATCAGTTCACTGTTTCATATACTATAATTCAAAACAGAGTTACTAAGAGGAAGAACTGGAGTATTATGGAGATGACAAGAGGTATGTTGCATGAGAGGAACTTATTGAATGAGTTTTGGGTTGAAACAGCAAACACAACAGTCTTTATATGAAGGTGCTTGGTTGTTCCAAGTGTATTGGAGAAGATGACACACTACGAAACTTAGTTTAATACCAAACCAAACCTGAAAATTTTGAAGGTGTTCGGTTGTTTGTGCTTTTCTCATGTTCCCCAGGTGAAGAATATCATAAATTAATATTGGATCAACGAATGGTGGGTTGAGAATATCATAAGTTGATGAAAAAATTAATGGGATTCAACATTGAAATTGTGCACAAACCAGGAAAAGAGAATAGGGCAGCTGATGGTTTATCAAGACTTCCTCAAACACTAGAATGTACGGCAATTAGTGTGGCTTGGAAGTATGAATTTGAAGCTAATTTTAGACCAACCGCAAATTGATCCTATTTTGGTTGCAATGAGAAACAAATTGAACGAGGGAACTGAAGCTCCAGTTGGTTTATTTCCGAACGAATATGGGATGATCTTTCAATGGATTTCATTGTGGGACTACCCTGGTTTGAATCTTATAATTGCAACTTTCAGAAAGTAAACTTAAAAAAATTAATCATTGAGTAGGCATAAAGATACATACCTGAGTCATCATATCCTTGATTTATTCCATGTGATCAGACACACAAGGTTGATGTGTAGGAGAAAGGCACTGGAGATCGGCCATGTCCGCAAGATATTCTTGGGCAAAAGCAGTCACTTAACGTCACTGGATTCTCCTCCAATTCATTTTCCCGTTGAATTATCTGTTAAATAGTTAGAATAGCAACCTCAAGGCTAAATGTTAAGAGTAGAAAAATTAAGCAATAACGACATTATACTTGTCACCAAGGCTAAATTATGGGATGATTCAAATGTATTGGCTCCAAATTTTCTACAACACAGGAGAAACTAACTCACTCCTCCATCGGAAAATTGTTGCCGTGTCATCCTTTATGCATTTCAAGAATCTCTTTCCAAAAAAATTACAAATAAAAACAATAAAGCTAAATCTTTCCCAGAGGAGCACATAAAAAGCTAAACCAAAATGAGTTTAAGTAGAAAGGGAACAAAATTAATAAGAAATTTAGATGAGGATCAAGAAGAGCGGTAGGTCCACCTTACAATGATTCTATGAATTGCAGTAGAAACAAATTGCATTGGTAGTAGCATAGCCAGTATTGTTTGTTGTTCTTGGTCATGAAATGCATCTTTAGAGACTTTTCCACAAAACAAACATTTGCAATCATTAACTTAGCTTTGACTCCAAGCTGTCTAAGCGTAGCTAAAATGCACAAAAGACCAAAAAATGGCACTTCATCCTAATTGATGCTGCTAATATAATCAGGCTGTTGAGAACCAAAGTTGTATTTTTCCTTCACTATCCTATTGCAACATAGTGCTGCAATAATTTTCCAAGATTCACTCTGCAAAGGTATTCTATACATCTAAAATATTAACTATCTTATATCCCAATAGATCAACGTGTGAACAATACAATATCCCAAAGATGCTTGAATCCTACTTCCATTCTTTTTGAGGGAAAGAACCGACCCGAACCAACCAAGGGGGCTAGATGCTCTTTTATCTGCTGCTGTCTCTGACCGTCTGTATTAGCACTTGTTGAATTGGTCTTCGGCAATAACTTCAGAGTCGTCCAAATAGAAGTAAGAAACTGATCGAACTTATCCGGGGCAACTCAGCCCTTTAACATTCTCTTTCTCTCTTTCTGTCACATTATTTCAAGAGCTCATCTAGACAGATGCTCATCCTTTTCAGAAAATAATTATGAAGAGGTAAAGATTTTCTCACTCAGAAAGTTTATTATAGAGTAATGAGCCTTACAGAACTCCAGAGAAAATGCGTATTTAGCAAATTGTCTACAAGCTTATAGGCTCACAGTTAGCAGCTCACATTCATATCCCCACTCCAAAATCTTTAATTATCAATCAAGCATCGTTGACATCTTTTTGTGGCACCTAATTCATTCGTACAAGTCAAATCACCACTAAAAAAATGAAAGAGCATCTTCAATTGTTCCAGAATCACAGACTAACTAAATTTTACAGAGCAACGAAGAACTGAGTTACCAGAAACAGTAGTTCGACTACTTTCTCTGATAGTTAGGCTAAATAAGACAAATAAAAACCAAACAGTTCCAGAAAGGTGTAATGTAATATATAACTCCTGGAACCTTGATATCCAGACGCTATTTACAGCCTCGTTATCTAAAAATTGATCGTATCTACAATCAATTGCATATTATAGAGATACTAAATGTAGAAATAGGTAAACCTGTAGACGACATCGAAGTTGACGGCGGTGCGGGCATGGCCAATACGGCTGCTGCGTCATGGAATTATAGGCATTAAATTCCTCCATCACCATTCCGACGGCAAATACAATGTTCTCGTTGCGATACCTCCTTCTCCTTCGCCATTTACGACGTAATCTGGGCCGGAATTGGAGGTTCCGCCTTGGATCTGAGGCTGGATTTGCTTTCAACCAAGCTTGTGAGGAATGAAACGACGAGAAGCTTTCTTGAGTGATAATGCAATTGAATTTGGATGAATCTCCACTGCGGAATCAAGTGTAAGTCTTCCCATTTTAGATCCCTTCAGCACTAAACAGCTTCCTAAATAGAGCTTAAAAGTTCATTGATCCTGGATCAAACAGCCTCTCTTTGACCAAGTTACACATCCCCAGCCCACCTCGCATTTGCAACCCATGGCTCACCTATCCTTCGACCCAGACCCACACACTCACATACTCGAACCGATCCATGGATCACTGAATCACACCTTGACTCGATATGCCTCGGCAGATCGAGTGGCTAAATTTAAATTATTTTTCAATAATATTTTTCTAATCCGATGGTATGGGCTACCTGGGATAATTTCAGATTTAAAAGAACCCATTCATGTTAGTTCCAATTATAGTAACTCTATCTTGGGTCAACCACGCAAGTGGCTTGGCTACTAATTTGGTTGGATGAATTGCCTGAAATATAAATAATGCAAGCCTTGTGACCACCGTATGTATGGTACATTGGATTGTTTATTGTTTTCTTATTATGTTATGATATGTTAGTAACTATGAGATGTGTGACGTTATGGAATATTCATGTTATCACATTATGAGATTGATGATTGTGTCATGTCACGAAAATGTAGTACCATGTTATACATTACATTACAAAATTATTATATTATGTATGAAATGAATGAACATAGATATATATTGCATCTCAAATACATGCATAATTTTAAACTACGGGGACTTCATCTATATTATATGTTCACATACATCAGATTACTTCATTGTTATGATTAGTACGGATGCATACACTACGATGTTACGATATGCTATTATGTACGTCATGAGATTATGTGTGTTCTCTTCCCTCATTGGTATACCGACAGCATGAGTGCTAGTCAAAGACCAAGTCCAGGGAAAATATATATGAGCTCGCCTGAGGTTTGTGTGCGCGTGTATGGGTCGTGTATAGAGAAGTACTACACATCCATTTTTGTCCCGACTAGAAGTTGAGACCAAGACTATGGAATTATGTTTTATGATAGATTCCAAATATGATTACATGTGATTGCATTTCCTGACCGTGGTAGTGGAGTCACTTCGTATTTCTTAAAATACTCAAGCTACATGTTACTCTTACTTTTCATGTAAAGACAAAGCACCTCTGCACGGATGATGACGTTGCGATCACGACCATGTAACTAAAGCTAGGGTAGACATATTTATGTTGTTTGTAGCCCTTGGGTTAGATCAAAGCCTTATTTATTCTCGTCTTTGTTTTATTTGAATTTCATGTTATTTGTTTTCCGTTGTAATTGTTTTAACGATTTTATTATGAATAAACAAGTCCTTGGCATCATTTGGAAATGCTTTTTTTTTTAAATAAAAACTCTACATTTTGTAATTAAGTCATGCATGTAATAGTTGATGACTCAAACAACTCGTTGAGATATAACATTTGAAAAATATATTAATAGTATATTTTATTTTATTCTCAATATTTAATTAGTTTATATTTTCTAGATATATATTATTTGGTAAATTATAACCTAGTTAAATATTATGAATATTTTATTTTATTTTATTCTCAATTCTATTTCTCACTCATAACACAATTCAACTCAATCGAAGCCTTTATTTTTCAGTTATGGTGGTTGGGTTACTCCTTTTTTAGTTATTTAAACATTAAATATTGTTAGTTTTCATAATAATTTTAAATTAGGGTAGAAGTGTAACTCTATTCTTGGGTTTGGTCGGATTGACCAGACCAAAAAATGTCAACCGACTAATGTTTCAGTTTCCAAAAATAGAACGTTCCAATATCTCCAACCACAAATGGCTTATCTAGCTTTCTAGTAAAATATTTAAATCACAACCAGTTCGCTAAAAAAATATTCAAATTATTTCTCTATTTAGTTTTTGAAAATTTAATTCCTTTTTTCTCATTAATTCTAAATTCATTTGTCTTAAAAAATGATAATAATAATAATAATCAAATATTTAATAAGCATAAAATACTTCAAGTGAGCCTATGAAGCTCTAACTAGAAGGCTCACTATCACTATAGTGGTGTTGGGCAACACTGATCTATTCTTAAGATCAGTAAATTATTAGTTGCTATCGCCTTCTCACCCAGAAACAGTAAGTTGTCTACTCGTACACCTTTTTTGAGTTAGAATAGTAAATTACTTGTCTTAGAAACAATAAACTACCGTAATATCGCATCTTCAAGCTAAAATAGTAAACTACCTATTGCATTACCTTTTCAACGTGAAAACAGTAAACTACCCCTTGCATTGCCTTTTAAGGCGAAAATAATAACTTTCCTGTTCGCACACCCTTTCGATTTATAATAGTAAAAGGTCATGACGGCTCACTAAGCACAGTTGTAGCTACTTCAGTAGTATATCTTAGTCATTGGGATTTCTTATGGGTGACAGTTGAACTGTGTAAATCATCAAGTAGACCCAAACACCTCTTGGCTAGTTCACGAATAGAGGTGCGCCCTAATCATTTCTACAAGATACCTAGTCAACCCAATATTATGTGGAATCCAAAACTAGATTCAAGGACAATAATCACGCAGAACAACGTACATGGTCTAATATACTCATGACATGTATTCTAGAGCACATATACGGGTTCTCAAACCCTAAATCATACATTTATAAACATATATCATGCTCAACCTGCTCAAACAAAGGATAGTAAATCAACCATGGAACTTATAAACATATTAACTCTATTAGAATTCACAACTATGTCATACATAAGCGGTAAAAATAAGTATTGTACCAAACCGTAAGCTATTAAGTTTTCTAGGTTGAGCTATCATGAAACTAGTTTAACTAGGTTTCTAAACAATTTCCTAACCATTTGCCCCGGTCTTAATCGACATCTACAAATACTATTTTGAAACTTGTTCCAAGTGGTTACTTATTTGTGACTTCTCGAGTTTGGTTTGAGTCTTCAAGAATTTGAAATTCTCCAAAATTTCTCAATATGCCCTTAATTAAGTCAAAAGAATAAAACTAGTCAAAATGACTTGAATAAGTCGAGAAACTAACCGTTGACTGAACGGTCATCTTCTCTAACTTTATTTTCTTAAAATTCCCAAAAGTCTTAGTGACCTAAACTTGAAAGCCTTACAAAAATAAATAAATAACACCCCATAAATAGTTACATAACTATCTTACAATGATTCAAGGGCTATTATATTTTAGTTAAAATGCACATAAGTGACATGACAATGATTTGTCAAATAGTGATGCATGTGGTAAACTAGCTATAGATTTATGTTTTGATACCTAAAGTTAATAATAATAATAAATAAATAAATAAAGATTAACGACACATGCCTATATTGAAAGACCATTTCTTGACACTTTTTGTCGTGACAATAAGCACGTTTAAATTTTCGTCTAAATCATCTCAATGCTGGTTAGGAACTTTTTGACATTGTCATTTATATTAGTGACTTTGATAGGTGGAAATCACCCCAAGAGCTCTGATACCAAACGATATGGAATAAATCCAAGGGAAAAGTTTGATACCAATGATAAAAAAATCACTACAAGGGAAGTAAGATTCGGATTATCTTGTTGATCGAATATCTCAAAGCAAGAACACTTGTTTGAGATTCGAATCACTCCACAAGCAAGAACGATCATGTCTAGCTTGAATGATTTTTGTTGATCAAATATCTCAAGATAATAACACTTGTTTGAGATTCGAATCACTCCACAAGCAAAATTGATCATGTAAGTTTGAATAATTCTACCTGCAACCTAAACTACATAGAATTGCAAATAAACTTAGACATTGGCTAAAAGAAGCACAAATATTGGATACGATAGCTTACGAAAGAAAGAAAGTCATTTCGATATGTGGACCTCATGATCCATTAATGGCTAATCAGGCCTGGCAAACTAGAGGCACCCTCCTCAATATGGACAATCTAACTATGGAATCAACTGGAAGACTTTGGGAAAAAAACTTAGTGTAAAGTTAATGATTTCATGTCGAAGTTGGTCTTCGTAATAGATGGCGCTCATACCTTGAAATTCAACACTACTCTTAATTAGCTCGTGACAACTTAATTTAATACTAACTTAATCAATGATACATGCACAAATCTCATCTTATTTTGCACGCCAATACGCATCAAACAAACATTTTAAAACAAATTCTCTTTTTTATTAGCTAAAAAGAAAGAGATCTAAACTAAAGTGAGTTGACATTTGTTCATCTTCAACAAATCAAATCGTTATAGCCAAAACTCTAACTTCGTTATCTATGTATGGAATTTAAATTTGTTTGAGGGAGCTAAGGATATAATTAATTAGTTAGTATTTTATTTTGATTATTGCCAAGTGCGAGCATTTCTTATATCATTTTATGGTTCATACATTTTTTTTTTTTTTTGTTGATCTTCACATAAAAATAATGGTAAAATTTGTTTGAAGAGAGAAGAAGATGAAATGTAAGACAAGAAAAACCTATGCAGAATAGACGTACTCTGAGATCCACATTGGTTGGAGAGAGGAATGAAACATTCCTTATAAAGGTATGAAAACTTCTTCCTAGTATACGCTCTTTAAAATTGTGAGACTGACGGTGACTAGCGGTGGGTTTAAGCGGTTACAAATGATATTAGAGTCAAATATTAGGCAATTGAACGGCGGAGGGGATGACAAATTTTACTTGTTTTGACATTTTGAACAATTATCCAAAAACAAAGCTAAAATACACACGCCCACGCATAAAACATTTTTTTTTAATATTCTAAAACAAATATTGATATTAAAAAAATTGGAGAACCCCCTTCTCCTTCTCTTTTCAAAATAAATTCCATATTATTTATTACCATAAAAATAATATCAACATATTTAAACTAAGACATATTAATAACTTTTTATTTATTTATTTATTTAATATTTTTAATTAATAACTTTTTATTTATTTAATATTTTTAATTATTGAGCTTAACATTATTATTTTGAAATTTGAATTTTTTAAAAATTTGGTTGGAAATATTATTAAATTTGTTAAAATGTTTAATTTTTTTTACTAAAAATTATATTTAAAATAAAAATTATTATTTGAAAAGAATATTTTAAATAAAAGTTAGAAGAAAAAATGGGAATGTTATCATCCAAAAATAATAATAATAAACAAGGAATATTTCCAAAAAAATATTTTTTTTTTGTTAAGTTTTGATGATTTCATTTTTATGAGGAA